GACGCGGGCAATCGGGTAACCCCCTGCCCCAGGACCCGCTCCCGCTGCCGGGCGGAGGGGCCGCGGAGGCCCAGCCGTGTCCTGCCGGGGTGGCCGTGCTCTCCGGGGCACTCGCCGCCGGCCCGGGGAGCTCTGGCCCCGGGCAGGCCGAAGCCAGGCCCTCCGCGTGCAGAAAGGCCTCGCGACACCGTCCCAGCCCCCTTCTGCGGGGGTCTTCGGGGCGTCCTCTTCCGTTAAGAACTGCTCTCCCAGCCCCACCACCCAGCAGGAGGGAAGGGGATACGCTCTGGACCAAACTTCTCCAGAGGGTTGCACCGACAAACAGCCAGGAGTGTCCAAATCCTGTGTTTTTCATACGGAAAAACATATGAAAACAATATATGAAAACATACGTGTTTTTCATATGGAAAAACACGTGCACAATCGTGGTAATTTTTTCATTTCTAGCTAACTCTGCTCTTTTGGTTTTTTTAACCTAGGCTCGCTGGTGAATTTAGCAGTGAGAAGGGCCACACATTTGTTGAACAACTTCACAAAGTGAGTATTAATGCTAATCCTCCCCCAGTGTAGTCACTTCATCTGTGCTATTGAAACGTATTCTTAAACTCTTTAATTTTAGACACAGTGCCCCCACGGACACACAGGAATTTAATACATTTAGTATTAAAATAAACAAATACTTCAGACTCTGACCCTTGATTACTCTCTAAAGAAATAAATGTCTTTAACCAAGAAGGAAACTGGTAGATCAAGTGATTAGTTATGGGCAGACAAACATATCTGCAGACTTACTCAGACCTGTTACTGTACACGGTTGTGGACACAAGTCTTGTTGTCACATAGCATCAGATTTGAAATCGGGGTGAAGTAACCACGTGGGCACAATGGTGGGAGACAGGTCCTGCCATGGCAGTCTGTGAGTTTTGCTAATTAGCTTCACTGTGCACAAGAACACAGAAGGAGCTAATCAGAGACTTTAAAAAGCTTTACCAGATTGCCTCTCAAGCATCCTGGGCTGTGGAGAGATGCCCCTCTTGGAAGTGGACGTGACATCAAGCCAGCGCTGCCTGCAGCTGTTTGTCACTGCCTTTCTTCCAGAGGTTACTGCTTGGGTGTCCTACCAGCAAAGTGATTATGTGAGCACCCCCCAGTCTGCTTTCTGCAAAGTCAGCCAGGGTGGTTTAATGTGCCAGTGAAAACAAGTACATGCGCTAATCTGGCTTCTCATAAAGCAATTAGGGAGCACTTATCTGATCCCCCCTGCCAGCAGGCTGGGGGATGATGAACAACAAGGGTAGGATCTTCTTTAATCAGCACAACCAGCTGTCGCCTCCCAGAGCTTGCTGCAGTTGTATCGGAGCATCAAAGCCTGGTTAATGAAAGCGCTTCTTATTTTTGTCCTGATTGCCACATCTAGGTCCAGTGTATGCTGCAGGATGTGGGCTCCAACATCGCGACGCCTCTCTCCTCAGCCAGGGAGGCTCACTTAAGTAAGCCTCACGGTACCTTTCCTGGGATAACAGTTCTTGAATCACAGCTGTCCTTCTAGACTGCTGCTGGGGAGGCTGTTCCGGTAGGTGGTAGTTAGAGCTGCCCAAGGGCTGCTCTGCAGTGTGTGTCTGGCGCTGAATGAAGTCACACACGGTCCCACAAGCTGCTGCCGCCGCCTGTGTGTGACTCAAGCGATGTAAGCTGGCCTGGGGCGCTGCCCCAACACTGACACCCGGCCACAGCTGCTGAATGGGGAGCCACCCCTGCTCTAGCAGGACGATTCTTTTGGGATGCTTGCTTAGGACGTACTGATCCAAGAAATATGAAAGTAAGCTCTATCTGTAGACTGAATCACTTCTGCATTTCTTTTAGTTGATTATTCTTTTCCCTCTGTAGAACGAACATCTTTCAGTGAGAAGCCAGTTCTGGAGCTGGAGCAGTGGATTGACAGTTATTCAGAGCAGCTTCCTCCGCTCAGAGCTTTCATCTTGCCAGTAGGTACTGCTTATGCCTCTCACTGACTGGAGAAGGCTTGCTTTGTTAGGGTATATCTGCTCTACCACTTGCCGTGGGAAAACATGTTGTGAGGCCATTATTTGCATGGACAAATACCAAGAGAAAAGCAGAGAGAAGGACCCGGTTGAATTAAATTTCCACGTCCTACTGCATTCAGATATCTCTGCCCAGTTGCCTAGCCATAACGTAGGATTCAGTTGCATGTGTGTGCGAGATGTGATAAGCTTTGCTGCAGTTATACAATAAGGTGGATGGCTATATCTGTTGTTAGCAGACATTGATGTGCTGTTTCATTGTTGTTTCAGTCAGGAGGTAGAAGCAGCGCTGCTCTCCATTTTTCCCGAGCTGTCTGCCGCAGAGCTGAAAGGTGGTGAGTGTTGGCTGTAGTGTAACGGAATAAAATTGATAAAAGGTGATCAGAATGCTGCAATGATAGCAAATCGTTGCAGTCGGAGCAATCAGCCATAGCTGTATTGCACTCGGCTAGAGCTTGAGTCAAACTTCGTATGTTTGTATTAGTCAAATTCCAGGAGTGCAGCCAGCAAAAAGCAAGTCTCTCTTCCGTCCCCTGAACTGGGTCATCCGAGCTAAGAACTTCAGAAAGAACAGACAGGTTTATGTCGAGATGCATCTACGTGTTCAGCTCATATCTGGTATTTTGTAGGCTAGCACACATGGAAGCTGGGGCACTGGCAGGTGCGAGATCCAGGGAAGCTTTAAGATGTTACTGCCCACACCTACCTTGTCCCACTCCTCTATTGGAGATTAAAGCTCCCCCGGTAAGGTCCGAAGGAGAAAACTCTTGTCTGCTCGTTAGGTAAATCACTTCTGTGCAGAGTCTCTTGTGTTAGCCTGAACCTGCTCATCAGCAGTTCGAAGTTGCTGGGGGTTCTTTACTGAAGCTGCTGATGTGCGGGAAGATGTTTCTGCGGATGTGCTCTGCT